GTGTGTCCGTGGGGGGGGGGGGGTGGGGTGGTGGTGGTGGCGGCGGCGGCGGCGGCGGCGGCGGCGATGGCGATGATGGTGCTGGGCTTTGACCTCAGCCCTGTCGCCTTGTGTGTGAAGAGCAGGTTTTCGTGTTTCTAGAGTGTGGTGGAACATATGAGGGGGAGGGGTGTTCCACTGGTGCTGTGACGGAAGTTCAAGGATGCTCACTGATAACTCAGGCTTTGTTGTTAATTCTTTCCTCAAAAATACATTTGCATTTTTCCAATATTAGAACTTCTGACCCAATTCTTTGTTTTAGTCTGCAATAGAAAGCCCTTCCTTCCAAACATTCATCTTACTAATCACCTTAAAAATATATTTTCCAGAAATAAATGTGCACCATCTATGACTTTCACTTGCCCTTTCAGAAGTTTTCTATGATTTGTAGCTAAAATGATATTTCGTTAATTTGCAGCTTTGCCCTCATGAAAACTTTTGTTAAAAAATTAATATATTTTTAGCTCTTTAAAGGATTTATAAAAGAAGCATATGCGCGTTGGAATATAAGTATAACTTGTCAGGATGTATAAAGCAAAATTTGAAAGTCACACCAGCTCTGTTATCCACTACACTTCAAGGCCATTTGATATTTATCCTTTTTAACCCTTTTCTTTGACCACAAATATGTACTATATAATTATACTTTTAATAAAAGTGGGATTATACTATGCATATTGTGCAACTTGTGTTTTTAAAAGAACAATGTATAGGATTAGAATTTAACCATAAATAAGCCGTTCTTTTAAAGCTTTTCTTTTACTTTTTTTCATGTTCTTTCCATTATTCCTCTTGACTAATCTTTACTGATGGATGTCACCTTAGGGCCTCCCTTATGACTTTGTAAATTTTTAATAAATACAGCTTAAAATAGATTGGTTATGAAGATTTTATCTTGAGAAATAAATTATCTTTTTTTTGCATTGCATGTAAAGATGTTTTAGAAAGAGAAAAACACAATTTCTTTATTCATATCCTATTATTTAAAATGAGTAATGATATTTTTTGTCCTAAATAGTTTCTTTATAATGGCAGGCCAGGCTCCTGACTGGTGTCTTGCTGGCTGTTCAGAGAGAGCTGCCAGAGTCAAGCTCTGGGTTTTTATTTTAATTATGAAATGTATTCATAGGTGCAAGAGTGTATAAAACACTCTTGTGTAATAAAGGTGCAAGGGTATAATAAACAATAAAATGAACGTGTGTACCTATTGATAACCTGGCTTAAATAGAATGTGACCCAGCTTTTTTGGAAGCACTCCTCAATATATTAATATACCCCCCCGCCCCAATTATTTAAGAGGCTTTAAAAGGTGATTTTTGAGTAATTTAATCTTTGCTTTCCCCTCAAGTAGAGTACCTTCAGTTTATTCTGGCAGCAGCACTGGAGGCAATGTAGAGTTACAATTAGAAGTGAGGGCTCTGCTGCTGTATTCCTAATGGTCTTTGTTACCTGTGCTGTCACATCTCTTAGAAGCTCCAGGACTTGACCAGGGGGCCTCACCGCTCTTGGGTTTTCTTACCTGTAAAGCATGAGCCCAGTGGTTCCCAAGGGTTGTGGCGAAGATGAAGTTATGCACATATGATGTGTATGTAGCCCAATGCCTGGCACACAGAACTAAAAAAGTCCTTAAATTTTTTTTTAAATCAAGGCCCTGTGCTAGGCAATGTGGAACTAAAAAATTGTCAAGGAATAAAACCCAACTGCATGTAAAATTACGTTTTCTAGATGTTCTCAAATACCATTTTCCAAAATATTTTGTGCAGAGGGTTGATTTTTAAGGGACCAAAGGCGCAGTCTGTGATCCTGCCCAGGAATGGGCTGGGACCTTGGAAATGTTCCTTAGGAGTGAAGTAATAGAGAAAGTTCTAGGATTGGGCACGGAGGAGCGTGATGTAGACACCATTCATGCGGCGTGCCTCCTGCTAGGTTATCTTTACTCTATTTTTACTTAACCATTTGTTTTTCTCTAGCTAGGTCTTGACTCGCTAACTGGGATTCCCTGTGTGGATTCAAGCTTGGACCTCGACAGCGTAAGGAAATGGAGCTCAGCGGTGTATAACAGAAAGCATATGGACAGGTCCACGTCCTGGCATTTAGGTGCGTATGAAACAGTATTTCTCGTTCTGCGTTTTCATGATAGAGTTGTGTTGACAGCTTGTAGTCTTGTAGTGTTAGAACTCATTTGTGCTTGACGTCACCCTTTGCACGAATCAGCAACAGTCTAAACTCAGTCCTGGGAATAATTGTTAGGTTAATGCTAATGAAAAGGTAATGAACTTCTTTAGGCCACATTCCACATAGATTAAACCAGAAAACAAACAGGCACAATCTTGCCACTTATCCTGATAACAAGGTAGGAGGTAAATATTCATTTTTCTTATCAGCAAACTTTTGAGTAGGTCCTGCTGTCGGTACTCTTGGTCAGGGTCACAGTTATGAGTCCTGTGTGTACAGAGATTTAAGATGTGTTCCCTCACTGTTTTTCAAACATTCTACAATTTAAGCAGCGACACTAAGTACATGTACGTTACTAAGGCACACATTCTTTTTTCTTTCTTCCTTTCCTCCTACTCTCTTCCTCATCCCAAAGCTTGATGGGCATTTTGCTTATTTTAATTTTTTTGCTATTATAAACAATAGTGCAGTGAAATTTCTTGTACATATCTTGGGGAGAATATCCATAGGTAAATTCCTGGCAACAAAATTGTTGAGCATAGTCATAAGGTTTTCCAGGTTTTAAATTTTGATAGATATTGGCAAATTGTCCTGCAGAGAAGCTGCAAGAATTTGCACTCTTACTGATAAACATTTTCTCAAACACTTTATCTTGTCAAAACTAAATTTATTCAATATAGTGGGTGTAACATGGTATTATGTCAGTGTTATTTTTAGTTGCTTTTAATTTACATACAATAAAATTCACCGTTTAGGATTACAGCTGTAAGTGCTTTTACAAATGCTTAGAGCGGATCATTCCTTTTAAAAAAATATTTCATTTTTTAATGAAGTATATGCTTGCTATTTAAAAAGATAAATAGAACTTGGGAAATTCCAAAAATTGGGAAGAAGAAAATGTTCTTGATCTCACCAACTAATGATATCACTGTGAACATTTTTGTGTAAGTCTTTCACTTTTTTGTTTTCTATGTGTAGCCTTTTTTTCCCCTTAGGTTAGCATCATCAAATTATATGCGTTGCATTCTTAAAAGTTATATTTATTAATGATGAGGGAGGTGAGGGGAAGACAATTTTATCTAGGAATAGCTGCAAAATGCATGGTCTCCCAACTCTCAGACTTTCAGTTACCACCTTTATATTTCAATTCACTTATATCTCTCTCCTCTATTCTTTCACAGAGCTTCTCTCTCACATCTCTGGTGGTCTTTAGTAGGCACTTGTCAAACATACATGGCATGACCAGCTCAAATTCAGCGGGTCCAGACCTCAGTCATTACTTGCCCATTTCCTTACTTATTTCTGAAGGGGACACTCTTGTTCTTTTTAAGAGCTAATCTTTGATACCAAGTCTCTAAGTATACTTTTTCGTTGACATTGCTGCTTCTGTCCATCTTTTTTTCTCGTTGTTGCTTTTATCGTCCCAGTTGCCAAGATCCGTATACTTGGATTAACACAGTAGTTTCTTGATCTTTCATCTTGAGATTGTCCAGCAGTAGAATCTTTCTGTTCTCTTCACCAGCTCAGAAACTCATGTTTCCTAAAGTTATGTCGCATTTGCATTGGACTTTTGAGAGTCCTTTGCCCCCTTTAGGGGTTTCTTCCTCCACCCTCCACAATATGCTCTGGGCTCCATGCTGGCCTCTGGACTTCATGGTGGCCTCCCATTCAAGACTCTCTGTCCTTCAAGGCTGACCCGAATGTCATTTCTGACCATTTCAAGCCTTGTTGAGTTCCTGTTTCTCTGAGCTCTCGTGCACAGTTCGATCATTAGCACGTGTCTAATCCCCCAGTTGTCCTGGCCTGTCCAGTTAGACGGTCAGTTGCTTCATGTCACTCCGTTTCCATCTTAATGTTCAGACTGTTGTGGCAGTGCATGAAACTGGCCGAATGATTGGTTTATTCCATTTTCTTTGACACATCAGTATAGATCCCCAAATGTTAATCTCTTACTAAACAGAAAAGAGAAAGCTTGCTAGTTAGCATCTTTTGTCTTTGTTAACAAGGATATACAGGCGATAGTTCACTGCCTGGGCATTCATACCTGAGAACAGCAGCTCTGTCCAGTACCTGGGACCTGCAGACCATGGTCCTGGTTGTGATACAGGCTCATTTTAGAAGTGATCCACATATGCAGAGGGACGCGGATATAAACTGGATCAAAAACTTTGAGTAGTGAGGAAAAATGTCTATTTTATTGGTGGCTGATTTCCGAAAGGCTCTCTGGTAATTCTTGTGTTTTCGGTTTATAGACTGTGCTGTTGACGTCAGCATCCCACTTTCTCATGACTAAAACATGTTATATAGAAATGCTGTGTTGTTTATAGTTGTCGTTTATAGCAACAAGAGAATTAAATATTTACAGGAACAATTGGGTAGTTTCAAAACCCTATGTAAACACTAATGATCAGAGCTTATAAAGAAGGTAAGGAAGAGTTGTGTAACAGTTACTGCGAAAGTGATTTTAAGCATATTAGAACAATTCCAGCCTTTTCAGTTGATTTTAAAATCAATGTGTCAGTGTTGAATTAAGACCAGATGTTTATAAATTGTCTGAGTTGTTCGCTGACTTTCTGTTTGGTATGGGAAAATCTCAGTAAATCTGTGCTATTTCTTCTAATGATAATTCTTTTTAAGTACAGGTATTACTTCGTTTTAGGTTTGCCATACAGGACCAGAACCTTCAAGTCAGTAGTGAGAAAGCCTGTCTGGTTTTGAGTAGTGTTTACTCTTGGATGGACCTTCTGTTTTCATTAGATTTCTTGCTGCTTCCGAGCTTCCGGCAAAGAGCCTCAGCTCCCCTCATGACTTTTCAGCTTGTGCTTGTTAGCACATGAATTTCTGCTTTGGCCTTTTTCACATCTGGCTCCCTCTCTCCTTCTCCCAGTGCTGTGACTGTGAGAAATTAGGTTATGGCACCTGCTCCCCTCCATCAGTGCAGGCTGCAGAGCTGATTGTGTAAGATAGTAATATAGGGTTTGTTCCGATGTTTGGACTAAGATATATGGCCTTGCCTGTGTTGTGTGTATGTGAGTTTGTGAAGTCAGAGTATCAGAACACATTCTTTGGGTGGAGTCTGGTTATGATTTACTTTTCTTTTTCCTCATATACACTGTTTTTAGACCAGTTCTGCCCAATACAGTTATATTAAAAAAAATCACATATAATTTTTTAATTGCTGTATTAATTAAAGGAAAAAATAAACAGGTAAAATTAATTTTTAGTAGTATATTTTATAATCTAATATATAAAAATATCACTTCAAGTAATCAACATAAAAATTATTAATGAGATATTTTACTTTTTTTCCCCCATGGTAAGTAACTCTTTGAAGTCTGGTGTGTACTTTATACTTACAGCACATCCCAGTTGGCTGTACCACATATCAGGTGCTCAGTAGTCACGTGGGGCAGTGGCACAGCTCAGGGCCTACATTGCTTTACTGCTGCTGAGTAGTATGTTCTCAGCTTGTAAGCTTCTAGATTTTGGGGTATTTCATAATGTAAACCACTTCCATTCACGAACTGCGTAATAAATGTATACTCACAGTCAAATGATGCTTCTGTCAGCTTCCCCTTTCTCATTTTTTTCCTGTCAAATCGAGAGGTTTCTTGTTGCCTGGAAATGCTTCTGAACCAGTTCAACAGGTAAATTGATTGGTAGGCAGTATTTCTAGATGTTACTTTCCTGGCTCAAGAAGAAAAAAATTTAACATTTTAAATGTGTGTGTGTGTGTGTGTGTGTGTGT